TGAGCATGGAACTACTGAGAAGGATAAAACCAATATAATGAGAAATAATCATGGACATGTAATGGTGGTTATTATCGAATAACTATCTACTTCATTCTCAGAGGCTGAGTAAGTTATCAACACACTCGGAAGCTCCCAATATCATGGCTTTCACTTCGCACATCACTCCTGAGGGACGGCCCAATGGTCTTACGGCCAATCAACGATCACGTTTATCGCGTCGTCCGATAGGGCCTAGTGACATAGCGATCTATAAAGACTACACTTATTGGATGAAGATAGTGTAGGATACTAGGATACTCTCAATGCTACTATTCTCGACGATATTATCCCAGATTCTCTCTTGGAGTGGCCCAGCTATTTCTAGAAGCTGGTATTAGAGCAGCATTGCTGGTGGAGGGTTCAATGTTCGGCTCAATAGCCTATCTGGCACATTTCCTCATGTAGTGTATATGATGTAACACTCACACAACTTACTATTACTACTACATGTTAGTCGTGTCTACTCTACTCCCTAATTAGATACGCTGCAGAAGTGCCTATATGCTTCACCGTGGCCCCTCTGATATATCGGTGGTTCGAGCTCCATACACAGGCTAAGTTCCTCAGCTCCCTTGGGACTCTGTTTATTGTAATCTATATGTAATATTGAATTATTGTATAGAGGGACAGGCTACCACTTGTTGGTAGTTATCAACTGGCTTATGCTACCAATTATCCAGAGAATACACCAGCCAATTCGCCGTGGTATCTAGTAACAGCGATTCTGGTTGGTATTATGTACCCTCTCGTAGAGATTACTAATTATGCTATTATAGGGCGTTGTGGGTAAGACTGCTACGACTACTGCACGACCCAGCAGCAGCAGTATCATCATCATTGTTCGCCCTTACAAGGTACTTTGAGTGCCGTGATCCTACGCGCCCTTTAACTCTAGAACATAGAACTCAGCAGCGAGATGATGGGGAGGATAGGTATCATCGTCATCATCATCATAGCAATGGCGACGACGACGACGACGATACGCAACATGGTTTGCTGGCTGGAGTACAGCGTTGCATTGATTTCATCACAATCGCTGATCCCTCTCAAACTACATGGCACGATGCTATTGGATTCAAAAAAGCACTCGGAAAAGTCTTATCAAAGTATGGTGACACTATTTCCTTATACCCTATCGTTCCCCATGGAACTTAGGTTCTTCGCCATTTACTTCGCCCTATTCGGTGTCTCGGGAGTCATGATTCTAATTCTGGGTTCATTAGTTTTACCCAACGTTACTGTCAGTACCACGCTTAATGAGTGAGCAAAGGAGGCATCATCAACAGCTGTTGTATAAAGATTGTATCTCTTATCACTCACGCGAAGAATGATCTTCTGTTGGCTATTGGCACTCTTCCCCTTAGCTGCTGTATTCATATTCAATATGGTACCACCGTGTCCGAGGAGCGATGTAATACCAGGTACGCCCTGATCATATACTATCCATTGCTGTAACTATCACTCGAGGTACACCTCCACCGCTAGTATCACCACTGA